TGATCAAAGGGCCAGCTACTGAGTTCATGTCAGAGACAGCCCCAGGCTGTTCCCCTTACTAAGAAGCCATTTGGAGACTGAGCTGTCATGGGCTACATCTATGCAGGAGTTCTAGGTTGGCTCCATGAATGGTCCCTGGTTGGAGTATCAGTGTCAGAAAAGTCCCCTGGGCTCAGATTTTTTGGTTTTGTCGCTCTCCTTGTGGCGCTCCAGTCCCTTCTAGGTCTATCTATCTCCCACTTCTTCCATAAGATTCCCTGCACTCTGCCCAAAGTTTGGCTATGAGTCTCAGCAACTGAACAGTTCTTAATCTTTCCTTAACTCTCTAAGCTAATTTGGCTTCCTCAAAACATGGATCCCAGCAATACTTGCATTTTGTAGCTTTTCTTGCTGAGCTCTCTCTCCTGATCTTTCCTGGACATCTGCCTGTAGCTGAATTGCCTACTTCCTCTTCCAACTCCTCTTCCCCTGGCTGGCAGAAAGTCCAGCCCTATTCTTTCTCCTGCTCAGTGATAGGCTTCATTGGCATGCCAGGAAACAATTGGGGAGAGATTCTTAGAACAACTATTGCAACCAGCTTTGGGGCTTATTTGAATTACACAATAACCTTATGCCTACATAGTCGTGGGTTGTATCAGAAATCAGGAGCCTGAGTGAGTAAGCCACCAAACAACACTCCTTTGTAAGTTCTCCTTTCTTGGCTGAGTGAGTTCCCTGGTTCCTACCTAGACTTCCTACCCTAATTACCCTGGGTGATGGACTATGACTTGAAAGTGGAAACCAAATAGCTCCTGTCCTCCCCACATCATTTTAGGCCAGTGTTAGGAAAATAAATGGGACTAATTTTGTGTAACTTGAGAACCATTATATGTGATCTAGAATAATGTGATGCCTGTAAGATAGAAGCCTGCCACAAGGCAGCTCAGATACGGCCAAGCCCAAGACAGGCCTTGATATGGTAACATGCTAAGGTGGTACTAATTTGTTAGTGAGCCAGCCCTAGGATGTGAGCCCTGATAGTGCAATAAAAAAAATTGGAACTTTGGAGGTGGCCCCTAGGATTGCAATGGTGTTCTCCAACCAATTTTACTGATACTCATTGGCAAGAGTGTGTATGTGGCCCTGGCTTTTAAGGCCTTCAAACTTATGGCACCGTTGCTGAGCTCACACATGCCCACCTGACATGCCCACACATGTCAGGGATAACCACTGGCCATTGTGCTCACAGACCACCACCAGTGCGGTTCTCCTGGCACAGGTCGAGCCTGTAAAGCTCCTGAAGTGTTTTCACCAGCAAAGATTTCCCAGTGGAACTCACTATCAGCTGATTTCTGCCGAGCCAATGGGTTCCCTCTTGGTGTGATGTCAGTTTAACCTTTATGTTAGCATGGTAGAATAAGGAACGCTTGTGGGAATAAACCGAAAGACAACCTGATTGCTGAGTGCCTCAGAGCCCATTAGAGTCAGTGTTTTTATCACAGGAACAGGAAGGGAACATTGTGTAGGAGACAGATTTCAAAGTCAACGCTAAGAGACAGATGACAGACAGGAAGAGAGATAGCACCTTAATGACACAGTTTCAACTGCTGAATCATGTTGCCTGTGGACACCTGCACAAAGCAACGTACTTCCCTTTGTTGATTCAATGTGTTTCTGTCATTTTTCAGTGAAGATTCCTTAGTGAACAGCCTACAACAGTCATATTCAAAGTGTGCTGTTTGCCCTGTAACTCTATGTAGAATGATTTGTTTTGTGTACAGATTTTTTTTTTTCTTGGTGTACTGGTGATTGAAGACAGGGCCTTGTGCATGATTGGCAAACACTGTCATGGATCTGAGTTTTTAAAGTCCTTGTACCTTCCTTTTATTTCTAAAGTTTTAGAAAAAAAAGTTCTAAAATTGAAATGTAATTTTTGGTGTGCTGTGAAACACACACACACACACACACACACACACACACACACACACACATATATATATATATAGTTTTGTTTTGTTTTGTTTTGTTTTGAGACAGGGTTTCTCTATGTAGTCTTGGCTGTCCTGGACTCACTTTGTAGACCAGACTGGCCTCAAACTCACAGTGATCAACCTGCTTCTGCCTCCCAGAGTGCTGGGATTAAGGCGTGCACTACCATGCCCAGCTGATTATTCTCTTTTTAAGCATGGTAACCCGTTATATAAAGGCATATAAGCACATACTCATGTCAATTCTCTTTGGCTTTCTCAAAGGGTGTTGGCATTACAGGGTAGATTTACTTCTTAGGCTTAACGGGATGTTTTAAAACAAATGTGCCTGACACATTATGGTTGCTGCGCAGATCTACAGGGGCTCTTTGCAACTGGGTTTGTACACTATATCATAATGGCACAACTCCAAGTGCATTTCACACTGTTCCTCTGTCTCTGTGCATCTGTCTCTATATAATGTCTCTGTGATATTTCCGTTTCCTTCAGAGCATTATTATCTGTTCTTAGTTCAATCTAGGCACTCAGGCTACGGTCATCACCTGGTGGCTCTAATCCCAGACACTTCAGAGACTGAGGCAAAAGGAAAATTGGTTCAAGGCTGCCGGGACTACAGAGTGAGTTCAAGGTCTGTATGAACAAGTTAGTAAGATCCAGTCTCAAATTAACAAGTAGGGACACAGCTTAGGAGTAGAGAGCCTGCCTAGCATGGGCAAAGTCTTAGGTTCAACCTTTAGTTCTAAAAGCAAATAAACAATTCATATTTCCTCCCTCAGGACACATTAAAGGGCAACAGTGATCATGAAGAAATAACGCACCAGTAAGACTTAATCTTATGTTATTTTTACCTTATTTTATGCCTTTAGGCATATCATATGTCGAATGAATTAATCTTTGCCATGCCATAACCCCTTTCTGGATTATCTGTGTGTGTGGTCATTATTTATCTTACTATAGTTTGTTTTCCTCGAGAACACAGTGTAATCTACTCCTCAAACTTTGCCTGTCTCTACTTAAATTAAGCAGAATATCAAAACATCTGTTTATTGACTTCCATAATAAAACCAATTATTTTGAAGGACTGGAAAGATGGCTCCAGCTGCTCTGACAGAGGAGGCACACTGCTTGCTGGATGTCTCACAACTGCCTGTAACTCCAGCTCCAAGCAGAGCCGAAGTGCCCTATCTCTGTGAGCACCCAGCCCATATGCAAAGATGCCCCCCCCACACGCACACACAATTAAAACCTTTTACAAAATTTTTGCTTCATTATCTTATCTTTTCTTATTCTTAAAATGGTACACACAAATCTGACAGTTTATGCTTTATGACAATCTCTAATTACATGATGACAAAGACTGTAAGCTTACGTGTAAATGAGATTATTTTATTAAGCTTAACTATCACTATTTTAGACTGAGTTAACTGCACACAAACACACACAAAAAAAGCACCAGGATGTACATTAAATAATTCTGTGCCATTTAAAATTGTTAAATGTGTGTTCACCAATGGACAGCAAATAGCCCTGCTGGGCTATGGAGAGACCAGAGAATGAAGAGAAGGGGTGGTTCTCAGAAGCTGGGTGAAGAGAATGAAGAGGACAGCTGTTTTAGCTGCTTTTCTATTGCTGTAATAAAGCATAACTTCTAAAAGGGGATGTTTAATTGGGCTTATGACTCCAGGGGGTTAGAGCCCATAACTAGAATGAAGGCATGGCCGGGAGCGCACATCTCAGACAGCAAGCAGGAAGTAGAGCGATCACCTGGGCACAGCACATAGCTTTTGAAACCTCAAAGCCAGTCCCTGGTGACACATCTCCTCCAACAAGGCCACGCTTCCTGATCCTTCTCAAACTGTTCACCAACTTGGGAACCAAACACATGAGTCTATGGGGCCACTCTTATTCAAACTACCACACCTTCTTTGGAACAAAATAAGGCTCTGAAACGTTTTTTAAAGGATTAATTGTATGCAGTCCAGGTGTGCCGTCACAAGCCTTTAATGCTAGCACGCCGGAGGCAGAGGCGGGCGAATCTCTGCGATTTTGAGGCCAGCCTTGTCTACAAAACGAGTCCAGGACAGGGCTTGTTACCCAGAGGAACCCTGTCTCGAAACAACAAAAATAACAACAATAACAGTAGCAGTAGCAGCAGTGGTAGTAGTATGAATGTTTTGCCTGCATGTATCTATGTATGCAACATGCAAGCCTGGTGCCCTCATTGGTCAGAAGAAAGCATTAGATCCCTTGGAACTGGAGTTTTGATGGTTCCCAGACACTATGTGGGTACTGGGATCCAAATCCGGGTGCCCTGAAAAAGCAACAAGGCTCTTAACTGCTGAGTCATCTTGCAGGCTCTCAAAGCAAACTCTTAAAGCATCAAGTTGCACTTTAGGTGGACACTTTGTGGTGTCATTGTCTGAGTTCTGCTTTCTCATTTGGCCATCACTGAAGGCTACGGTAAATTCAGTGCTGGCGTGTGAAGTTAGTCTCAGTTTTATGGGGTGTAGGCCAAGATAACCAAGGAAGACTGTATTAGACTTCTAAGGGGCAGAGAGAGCAATTCAAAACACTAAAAGTCATCTTGGAATTAATCTTTTATTCTCAAAAGAAAACCAGTCAAGATGGTTGGCACCGACCAGGTTTTCACAGAAATGCACAAACTAACATTTAATACCCGGACACATAACTTTGTGGCCTCATGTGACAGAGTTCTTGGTGATGGCTTCAAGCTGCTGGCCTGTCACTGGATATGGGTTCATGAAAAGACAAGGTGTAAGATGCTGTCCTTTTGGCAAAGGTAAACATGTTCTCCAGGAAATTCTAAAGATCCCTGCTGAACTCCGAAGGCCTTTCCTAGTCCCTGAGTTGCAGTTTTGCAGTGTTTCCTAACACTCAGACTTTCATGAGGAGGAGCATCAGAGACAGAACCCAGCAGAGAAGAGCCCTAGGGTCTCTGTGCAGAATGTGCGCTTGAAGAGATGAATTACATATACACACGTTTGTGGACTTTACAAAAGAAGTGATGTATCGCTAGGCATCTTTTTTTTTAACCCAGTCCATATTTAGAGATATTCTTACAAAAGGAAAGCCTAGTAAGACAAAACCGCTTTCCCTCATCTCCCGATAGCAGGGAGAAGAGCAGACGTGAAACAGAATAGGAATCTGGTTTACTCCAAACATATTACAGGAGCGGATGATGCGAAAGCCCACACCAAACTTGGGACCATGACACCAGTCACACCTGGATAAGCTGAAAAGAAGAAATGTTAAGTGGATATTTCAGTTTCTCCTAATGTAAGAATTAATGCTTGTTTTTTTTTTTAATTGAGCTTACATCTAGATAAGGCACCTACTGTGAAGTCTGAATTTAAATTCTAAATACAGTGGAGTAACAAATTAGATATCTGTGCAAGGAACCATTTTTCTAAAGCAGAAGTAAATGTGCACAGTGCATTATAATTTACAAGTGAGGCTGTGGATTCTTCTCTTCTGAGGGAATGGGGATTAGATCCAAGCCTGTGTGAATACTACATAAGCATACTATTACTGAGCTATATTCTCATATGTATCATGGAGCGTGTCAGTGGCAGAGCAAAGCCACTCATTTATGGCCAAGACACAAAAGGAACTGGGATCCCACAGTTCCCTTAAAAGGCATCTCTCCCATGACCTATGCTATGAACCTTTCGCTAGGCCCCACCTCTTAAAGGCTGCAAATCTCTCAGTTGCTGCACCTTGGATACGAACTTTAGCACACAGTCCTTTGAGGGACCATCAAGATCAAAACTATGCTATAGCAATGTCTTTATTTAGTCAATATTGGTCTTTTATATGTTCCTGAGGAAACATTCTACTTAGACATACTATAAATATTTGTACAACCCAGAAATGATGATTTGACTTACTTAACTAGTCAAAAATAGTTATATACCTTGTGGACATAACAGACAAGCTTAAATTATACTAAGAATCATAGTCTTGAGATTAGGTAACAAAGTCTTCATTGCTCATTGATTCTTGATAAAAAAAAAAAAAAGAAACAAAGAAACAAACAAAAAAAGACAACAAAAAACAAAAACACCAAACCAAACAAACCACTAACCCCCACACACAAACACAAAGCAAACAAACAAACAAAAAAACCAAAAAACTCCAAAAGCCCCCAAACCCAAAACAAAACAAACAAACAAACAAACAAACAAACAAAAAAAAAAGCAAAACCAGAAACCCCCAAACAAACAAATAAAAAACCCTATGTGATATATTACTGATAGTTCTCATGTCAGGATGGAGTAAAGCATATCCCTTGGAACTAAATTTTTGAAAGGAATTGCTTTTAAGTACTTAGTAATTCATACAAGAGATTTAACTAACATACACATAGATACTGTCCACTGACTCAGCAACATACTCTTCTCAGCTTCAGAAATAACTGGAGAAATAATATTATGCAATACGACTGATTTAGACTACATTAGTATAACTACAAAGCAAGAATGGGTAAATGAAGAGGTGTGTGTGCCTTAGTAAAATACTTAGAAATGCGCTTTGATAAAGAGTGTGTTAAAAATTACTCACCTTCTCAGATGATTTTTAGCTTTCGTTGGGACGGAATCATAAATTTTGTGAAGGTTATTTTTAACAATGAAGAAAGAACAAATTTCAGTAAGCCGTAGGGGGTCATTCAAGGAATTCTCTACCCAAAAATGACTACTAGTGAACATATTAGCAAACTGTAATTTGACCAAGTTAAGCTTTAAAATTCCAGGTGGAAAGGAAGTCATGTGATAATTTCCATCAACAGTCAGTTTTTCAAGTGATCTGTACATAAAAAGGATCATATTTTACAAGATAATCATGCAATTTATAATATTCAAACAAGTTTCTGCGCTGGTATTCTTGAAACCTGGCACTAAAACTAGTGGCAATAGAGTATCTATTTTGATATTTTCCTGAAATCAAGAGAGTTTCCTTATAAAACAACTGAACCAATATATGATTACGCAAAGGGGTGCGTTTCTGTGAATGGAACAGTGGGTGCATGCATTAGGGTTCTTTGCAAGCTGCTATGACTCTGGAAAAAGAAATAGCCGTAAATGCAGAAAGACTAAGAGGTGTTACAGCCCACCAACACAGTGGGATGACACCAGAAAGACATCACTTTCAGAGACAAGCTGAACACCGATATAGGACTTTTCCATGAATGCCTAATAAACACAGATATATATGTAACCTTAAAAGACACAGTTCCGCTATGCTTTGCCTCCCTGGCACTTTGCTCCCTTCCTTTTATTGTGTCAGTGCTTTCTAATGATCCTTGTCTCTTTACACAAAGAGAATGAGTGCGACGGAGTTGTCTCGTTGACTCGGTGATGTTTCCTGCAGCTATTTGTCTCTTTTCTAATGAGTGCTCGGACAGAAAAGCTTCAGTTCACGAAAGGCATACCAGCATCAAATCATCGTCAAAATGCCTTGCAAACGAACAGGCTGATATATGGGCACGTCTGAACCCTCCTTGATCTAGTCTCACACACCTCTTGCTCCAAATCGGGTTCTCTAATGGGAGCTCTTGCTGACAAAAATAATGAGCCAAGAGGGTGCTTCAAACAGAAGGACCACGCAACTTTTCAAGTACAGGTTGACCACTGTATCTCCTGTGGTCAGCTAAATGTGAGGGAAATCCCAAACTCTTACTTTGTTCTAAAAGACAAAATGGACACAACCATGTCCCCTCTGCAAGCCACACAAGCCTTGGGGACAGCAGCAGAGTCCTGCTATGATCTGAACATTTCACACACTTCCTACGCTCTTTAAAAATTATTTTTTTTTTCATATGGTATGTTTCGATCGTGTTTCTTCATCTACCCCAGCTACTCCCAGATCCCCCACCTCCCCTACCCACCCATCTTTGTTTTTTTAATCTCTCTCCCTGTTTAAAAAACCAAACCAAACCAAACCAAACCAAAACTACACATCCAAAAGCCAAAATAAGACGAAAATGCCAAAACCAAAAATACACACCCACACACATGCAACAAACAAAACCAACCCCACCAAAAAAAAAAAAAATCACTGAACAAAATCATGGCGGTCATTTTGTGATAGCTGAAATAATCATGGGCATTGGACCTACCCTAAGGGTGGTTACTATGCCCAGTGAGCGTCCATTGGAAAAAATAAATTGATTTTTCCTTTGCCAGCATGTATCAGCAGCGAATAGTTACTATGAAACCATGCATCCACAGTCTCATTCTCAGCGCTGGGCCCCTGCCTGGCTTGAACCTGCGCAGGTCTTGTACAGGCAGCCAGTTTCTGAATTCGTAGTGTATCAGTCCTGCTTTGTCAAGAAGATACACTGTTCTTAGACTCATCCATCTTACAATCCTTCTACCTCCTTTTCTGCCTAAATCCTTGAGCTCTGAGGGGTAGGGCTTCACAAAGACATCGCATTTAGGCCTGAGTACTCCAGTCTCTCACTCTCTGCATATTGCCCAGTTGTGGGTCCTGTGTTACTTCCCATCTACTGCTAGAAGTTTCTCTGTTGATGGCTGAGTGAGGCACTGATCTGTAGGTACAGCGGAATGTCATCAGGAGGCATTTTATTGCTATGTTCCTTTAGCAAGAAGTATTTGGTTTCACCTGGGTCCATGGTCTATTTAGTCTCAGGTTCTTGATCAGTTTAGCGGCAGCAGGTGAGGGTTTCATTTCATGGAGTAGACCTTAAATCCAAGCATAAAGTGGTTGGTTATAACATTTGTGCCACTATTATATCTTGCAGGTGAGTCAGTGTTGTAGGTCACAGTGTTTGTAGCTGGGTTGATGATTTATCTTTTTCCTCTGGTAGCGTGCGGAGTACCTTCCAGCACTATGAATCCTAGTCATCAGTGCTGAAGCTTCTAGTTAGGCACCAGCTCAACTTCTCCATGATCCGTGAGATAAATGAGCATTGTCTTCAACTACAGGACCTCACCATAAAGTTGTGGAAAGCAACCAATAACCATCCTATGATGTTTGGGGAGGTTCCATGTGACCCTTTTGGCTAATGACTCAACAAGATGTAACCCATTCCTGGCACTGGATGTTTTAGTTGGTGGCATAAGATGTCTAGGGTGTGGGGTGGGGACAAGTGTGTCCCACATTATTTGATGACTCCATTTAAATTCTTTCTATATATGAATATATCTTAGGAAGCTTCTACAAGTTTCCATATGTTTCAAATGACCTTTAGTGTTAGTTGTCCCTCCCTATATTCCCTTGATTACATTTCTCTTCCATCCCCCTTCCTATTTAATATGCCTCTTCTAGACTCCCCTTTATCTTCCAGAACACTATTTTCTATTTTCCCCTTCATGGGAGATCCTCTCCTCCTTATTAGGTACTTAACCTTTGTGGTTGTTTGAATTTTAGCACATATATTGAAATTTTAAGAGCTAACATCCACTAAGAGCTAAATAAATAATAAAAAAAAACATAGAATATCTGTGTTTTTACCTCATTCAAGAAGAGCTTCTTTTAACTGCAAATTTTACCTGCAAATTTCATCATTTGATTTTTCTTAACAGCCAAATGTTTCATTGTTGTAAACATGCCACAGTTTCATTATGCATTCATCAGTTGATGAGCATCTAGGCTTTTTTTTTTTTTTCCCAATTCATGTGTACTGTGAATAGAGCTACAATGAACATAGATAAGCAGGTATCAGCAGTACAATGCAGAGTCCTTGGGCATATGTTCAAGAACACTGTATTTGGATCTTGAGCTTTAGGGACATTGATTCCTAGCTTCCTGAGGAACAGCCACACTGAGTTCCATGGTGGGTAGACCGCTTTGCATTCCCACCAGCTAGGAATAACTGTCCCCTTTTCCCCACCAGCAGGTGCTGTATTTGTTTTTATTGATCTTGGCCACTCTGACTGGTGTAAGATGGACTCTCAAAGTAGTTTTAATCTGCATTTCCCTGATGGCTAAGGATATTGAACACTCTTTAAGAGTTTTTCAACCGTTCATGTTTCACCTCTTGAAAAGTCTCTGCTTAGTTCTGCACCACAGTTAATTGGTTTGTTTTCTTGATGTTCAGTTTTTGTTTTTGTTTTTCTTTTTTAGTGCTACCCTCTATCAGATAATTGGTGAAGATATCTTCCTAGTCTGTAGGCTGCTGTTCTGTCAGAATGGTGACCTTTTCCATACAGAAGCTACTTGCCTTCATACAGTTCTAATTTATTAATTTTTGGTCTTAGTGCCTGTGCTATTGGTGTGTTGTTCAGAAATTCCTTTCCGGTGCCATTGAGTTCAAGTCTATTGCCCACTTTCTTCCTCTGTCAGGTTCAGCTTATGTCCTAGATAGAGTTTCTGCTGGTGCAAGGAAACACCATGACCAAAAAGCAAGTTAGGGAGAAAAGGGTTTATTTGACCTACACTTCCATAGCACTTTTAGTCATTGAGGAAAGTCAGGACAGAAACTCAAAGAGGGCAGGGACGTGGAGGCAGGAGCTGACGCCGAGGCCATGGAGGGGTGCTGCTCACTGGTTTACTCCCCGTGGCTTACTCAGCCCGCTCTCTTACAGAACTTTGAGCCTCCAGGCCAGGGATGGCACCACACGCCGTGTGCTGGGTCTTCCTCCATCACTCAGCAATTAAGAAAATACCTTCACGCCAGATGTTATAGAGGCATTTTATAAATTGTGGTTCCCTTCTTCATGTAACTCTAGGTTGCGTCAAGTTGACATAAAACTACCCAACACAGGTTATGTGTGTGGTAGTCTTCGGGCCATTTGGAATTGAGTTTTATTGCAGGATGCTAAATATGGCTCTATTGCATTCTTCTATACGCAGCTATATATTTTAACAAGCATAATTTTTGAAGATTTTTGAAGCTGCTCCAGTGTGTATTACTGTTTGTTACTTTGAGTGCACTTTTTCCTGTAATGATTATGTAGTGTCCTTCCATATGTCTTCTGATTCGTTTGTCCGATGTCTGTTTTGTCAGGTATTACAACAGCTACACCTTCTTTGGTTCATTTGCTTGAACTATCTATTTCCATCCTTTTACCCTGATGTCTATTCTTCAGGTGAGGTGTGCTTTTTTGATGCACCACAAAGATGGATCCTGTTTTCTAAATCTGTCATGCATTTCTTTTTTAGATTGGGGAATTTTTTTTTCCTGTGGTTTGTTTAAAAACTATTTTCTGTGCTTCTGACCTAGGTTTCTTTTTCTTCCTCAAAACAATTATTCATAGATTTGGTCTTTTCATAGTTTCCCAGATTTCCAGGATATTTTATGTCTGGATTTTTAAAAAAAAAAAAAATTAACATTTTCTTTGACTGAGCTATTCATTTCTTTTACCTTGTCTTCAACACGTGAAATTTTCTCTTCCGTGTCTTGTAATCTGTTGGTGAGGCTTACCTCCAAGATTCTTGCGTGACATCTAAGTTGTTCATTTCTTGTTGTATTTCAATTTGGATTTTCTTGAGTGGTTCTATTTCTTTGTCAAATTCTACTTTCACATCTTGAATTGTTTTATTACATTCAATTGACTCCTTGTGTTATTCATATGCTCTTTACGGTCCTTGAACATAGTCAAAATTGCTCTTTTGAAGTCCATGTTTTGTGTTTCATCTAAATTGTTTTTATCAGATAATGTTGCAATAGGGTTGCTGCTTTCTGGAGGAGGTCAGTTGCCTTGGGGTTCATGTTGTGTTTCTGCACTGCAATCTAGGAACCCAGAGTTAACGCTAATTCAAGTGTTTCTTGATGTGAGTTTCAGGTCTTGTTTTGTTGGGTGGGTGTGTTCTGTCCTTTGGCTGCTGTTGCTCCCTCTGGATACTCAAGCAAGTGTGGTGGCTGTGGGGTCCTTCAGTGGAGACTGTTTTAGGGTCAACATGTGACATAAAGGAATAGAGATGAGCTAGAAGGAAAGGTTGTGAGGAGTAGCAGGACAGAACTAGGGTCGGCCTGGGTCTGCACCAAGATGTAGGGATGGAGATAGTGGAGGAGGGGCTCCTGCAGGCAGGCTAAAGGACTGAGAATACATCTGGAGAGAATGTAACGAAAAACCTGGCCGGAGCCTCTGTCTACATCGGGGAATGTTGGTGGGGTGGGACGAGGGCTCCTGGCAGCACTAAAAATGCCTCGATAGTCTTACATTGAACGCCTCACTCCCAAGATATTTGGAGGTAGAGCCTCTAGGAAGTGATTCGTTTTGACAGAGAGCTCTCACAAATGGGATAAATGCCCTTATAAATGAAACTTTGGAAAGAGCCCTTCCATCCTATGAGGTGAGGATGAGATCGAGAAAAGGGTACTGTGCCTCCCCTTAGGGCAATGGTCAAGTTTTAAGCATGATTAAGACACTTAAAGTCAGTATTGGTGTTACTGGTGTGTTAAGTGCATATTGTGAGTACCTTCTTATCTCTGTGTTCCTTTAGGTCATTGCTTCCCAACCTTCCTAATGCTGTGACCCTTTGGCACAGTTCCTCATGCTGTGGTGGCCATCAACCATGAAGTGATTTTCCTTGCTACTCTATGACTGTAATTTTGCTACCGTTATGAATCTTAATGGAAATAATTTTGGGGACAGAGGTTTGCCATGTGGGTTGCGACCCACAGGCTGAGAACCACTGCTTTGAGTAAAGCTGTTGGGAACGGGTGAGTTTGACTACTTAACAGCTCACTGTCCTGACCACCAGGACCGAAAGACTAGCTCGCAGTCAAAGAGATAGCCCATGCACCCGGTGCAGCATTGCCAGCTGGGCATCCCACAGAGGGGCATAAAATAAGATTTGAGAGGCTGGAGCTATGGCTCAGCAGTTAAGAGCACACGTGGCTGAGGATTGAGTTGCATTTCTAGCGCCCACGCCAACTGGCTCACAATTGCCTGTAACTCTAGCTCCTGGGATTTCAACACTTCTGGCCTCCTTAGGTACCTGTGCTCGCATGCACACAGTCTCACACAGACACACATACAGACATGGAATGAAAAATCGTTTTTTGAAATATTTGAAAGATTAAGAGTACATAATGTTTTAGATTTTAGTTTTATTGTTTATATATTTGTGTGTGTGTGTGTGCCATGTATGTGCCACAGTACCCTTAGAAGCCCGAAGAGAGCATCAGATCCTGAAAATTGAATTTCAGGTGGTTGCAGGCCATCCAAGGTGGGTGTTAGAAAATGAAGTAGGGTCCTATGGAAGAACAGCAAATACTCTTAAACCACTGTGTCATTACTCTAGACCATGTCATACGTTTTAAAGTGAGAAATAAATATCAACAAAAATTGTGTGTAACTCAAGACAACTGCAATTTATGTGTCAAGTTTGTGTTCGTGTGTACGGCAGCAAATATATATAAAATAATCTTAAAGATTAGAACAAATAATCTTGACAAATTAGTCAAGAGATAATTACTAAAAAATATCTTCCCTATCAGTCATTATGGCAAATTCATAATAAATAATAAAGACACAGATCCAGGCAGGGTGGCACATGGCTTTAATCCCAGCACTCAGGATATAGAGGCAGGCGTATCTTTGTGAGTTGGAGGCTAGTCTGGTCTACATAGTGAGAGACAGATCAGCCAAGGCTGCATTGTGAGACCCTGTCTTAAAACAAACAAGTGAATTCAGGACTTTTGTTAACTTGCAAAATAATTTGATATATGTGTGTGTGTGTGTGTGTGTAAACTGAAATGTATAAAAGTCATATAACCTTCTTCAAAAATGAACAAAATAGCTTGTTATTCTGTTAAAAGGTTTTACTTTAAAAAAAAATCTTTGTAAATACACCTTACAGATACATCTTACTAGAGATTCAAATTATATTAAGAAACAAGCCCCATGATGCCCAGATTATAGACTGTGATTGAAACAAGTGAGAAAACTATAAGTTCTTCATCATTATCATTACCAAACATCATTAATGAGATAGTCATTTTCTGTGAATCTACTACTTTGTAAATACCTGAGTCTCTGGATATCATTTGGGATATGCTTTAGTTCATTGTAGGAAACATCAAGTTCCTCAAGAAAAGGCAGGTGAAACAACCTTAAACAGAAATAACAGTGAGTTGCAGAGGTGACTGTTCATTCTCACTGGGAACTAAAACATTCAGAAATTAAACATTTTCCCGAGACACTGAGAGTTACGTCAACTTCTTTTCATTACGGGTAGTCTAAGTTCCATGAACACCCCCTGAAAATGGTTCTTCTGTCTGTAAAGACTGCTTTGAGATCACTGGAGGGGAAAAGCCTCACTTAACAAAAGTTAGCTAAGAATCTTTTATCATCTGAAGGTTTTTTTTGGTTTCTACATTTGTTTCCTACCTGAATTCTGGGTGGCTGGAAACATCAGGACCCCGCCCTTCCAAAGTTCAGGAGCCACAACGCCAGCGCCCAGCTGTGGGGAGGACTGGAGGCTTCAGTTAGAGTCCTTACGTCTCTCCTGGCTTCCAGGGCTTGCTTGCAGCCTTGGCCTGTCCCGGGCTCGCAGCGCCATTTGCCTCCTACTCCACGGGGTCTCCTTCCCAGGACACCAGTCACAGGATCCGGGGCCCACCCTTACTCAGAATGACTCCCATTTAACCTGAGAAATTTCCATTTACATATTATAATTGCAAGTTAGGGTCACATTCTGAGATTTTATGTGGACATGGACTCTTGAGAGTCTTTTGTTCAACCCAAGTAGATTCTGACTTTCCTAGTGAAATAACTTTGATTTTTTTTTTCTTCTTCCCATCAAGTGACTGAAGTATGAACTAGAGGATATAATGGCTGTACAGCACACAACTCTGGCCTCATGAGTCTGTTTCCTAAGGGGCGCATATAGAAACCACTTATTGAAGACTGGGATTGAATGGCCAAGTATGATACTGATCACAGTCCCTGGAAGCCCCCATTCTGTGTGTACTAGTCTCAAAATCTGCCTCTTTCTACACAAATAAACCTGAACTATTACTTGCATGGCCATCAGCTAAGGTATTGTGAGCCCAGGACTTTACTAACTTCCCACTGTTTCTTCGAGGTAGGTAGAGAGCTTCTATGTATCTCCAAATGCCATGCAGCACCTGCCCAAGCTTGATTCTTTGGTCGCTGTCTTCTCATATTTGAAATCTTAACCTAGACGTTGCCTCTTGGCAAATCCTTACAGCTGGAAGAGCTGACACTTCTGTGTGCCGGCTACCTCTCTCTCGGCCCCTGTGCCATGGTACAGTGATGAGATTCTGGAGTCCGGGAATTCTATCTTATACTTCTGTCTATCCAGTGTCTCACTGAGTAAGTCAGAAATGAGTGAACCCCAGTTAAGCTAAACTCCTTTGCTCTGAGAACCTGTTTATGTTGATTAGGAAAATGTAAAATAACCTTTTTCAATACAGTAGTCCCCCAAATTTCATTTTCATTCCTGTAAAGAAAACGTTGATACTACCTAGTCTGTTTTTTTTTTTTCAACTCAAGATCATATTTTACTTTTTTTTGCCTCAGGAACTTCCTCTCTGCCTACCAGTGGATCACAGAGATCTTCCCCTTCAACTTCCTTCCCCTCACTTATCCCATTATCCCAGCCACAAACTCCAGGAGGCACTTCCTGGAAACCCACAGGCTAGCCTGGTCAGAGAAGCAGGGAGGCTAACTGCAGATCTTCACCTCTCCCTCCAACCCTCCAATCTCCCAGGCCCATCCCAGGCTCTGTAGCAGACCACTTTCTGTGGCTTCTCCTTACTCTCTGCCCCCATTACCAGGGGACTAAGCAGATCCTGGTGGACCACCCTGCTTTCCTCCCTACTGTGCACCCCCCCAGACCATACCCATTCCTAAGTGTCAGCTCCTAATTCCTAGAAGCACATTCTACCTGGAAACCCCTGTGGCCACATCTATCAGAATCTCCTTTCAGGCGTCACACAGCCACTGCACTCTCCTAAAAACCAGGGAACAGAAACCAAGGAGAAAAGACCCTCTCCTCCCAACAAAAGCAAGGGCAGATATCAATGCCTAGAATCACAATCTTCCCAAATCCGGATGTCTAGACACCTGTGTAAAAACATAGTCAAGTAACAGTCTCGACCAGCGTCCAGCAGCCCTACCACAGCAGGCCCTGAGCATTGCAACAGAGCTGAAACACCAGAAAAAAAGGTCCTTAAAACAGCCTTTTATGAATATAATAGAGGTCTTCAAATTCCTTAAAGAAATGTATGAAAACACAAACAGTAAAAAGAAATGAATAGAACAGTTTAAGATATGAAAGTGAAAACAGAATCAATACAGAAAACCCAAACTGAAGGTAATCTGGAAATGAAAAAAATTAAGAACTCAAAAAGGAACCACAGAGGCAAGCCTCACCAACAGAATACAAGAAGAAATGGAAGACAGACTATCGGGCATTATAGACAGAATAGAAGAAATGAATACACTTGTCAAAGAAAATGTTAAATCTAAAAAACTCCTTCTCCAAAACATCTAGAAAATCTGGGACACTATGAGAACACCATAATAGAAATAGAGGAAGGAGAAGAAACCCGGGTCAAAGGTACAGAAAATATTTTCAACAAAATCATAGAAGAAAAGTTTCCTAATCCAAAGATGGAGATGTTTATCACAGTACATGAAGCATACAGGATAACAGATAGACTAGATCAAAAAAGAAAGCCCCCATCACCAATGGAGGAGGGTTCCCCTTTTTCCACAATCTTGTACAATCTGGAAATCAATCTGGTGCTTTCTCAGAAAATTAGGAATATTGCCACCTCAAGATACAGCTATACCACGCCTAGGCATATACCCAAAAGATGCCCCACCATTCAATAAGGACATTTGCTCAACTATGTTCATAGCAGCTTTATTTATATTAGCCAGAATCTGGAAACAACCCAGATGTTCCTCAACAGAGGAATGGACACAGAGATTGTGGTACATTTACACAATGGAATACTACTCAGCGATTAAAAACAAGGAAATCCCGGTGGGAAATTAAAAAAAAAAATCATCCTGTAGGGAAACCAGAAACAGAAAGACACATATGGTATAAACTCACTTATAAGTGGATATTAGCCATATAATATAGGATAAACATTCTAAAATCTATAGTCCTAAAGAAGCTAAACAAAAAAGAGGACCCTAGGGAAGATGCTTAATCCTCATTCCGAAGGGCAAACAGGATAGACATAGAAAGTAGGAGAAGACAAGGAACAGGACAGGAGCCTTCCAAGGAGAACCTCTGAAAGACTCTACCCACCAAGGTATTGAAGGAGATACTGAGACTCAGCCAAAATTTGGGCAGAGTACTGGAAACCTTCTGGACGAAGAGGGAGATAGAAAGACCTGGAGGGGACAGGAACTCCACAAGGAGAACAACAGAGCCAAAAAACCTGGGCCCAGGGAGACCTGTAGAGACTGATACTCCAACCAAGGACCATGCATGGAGAAGACCTAGACCCAGTGTTCAGAGGAAGCCCATAGGCTTTTCATTTTCTAAGTGGGCCCCTAGTAAGGAGTACAGGCGCTATCTCTGACATGAACTCAGCAGCAGGCTCTTGATCACCTCCCCACTCCGGGGGGGGTGGGTGGGTTACAACCTTGCCAGGCCACAGAGGAAGAGGATGCAGCTAGCCTTGATGAGACCTGATAGGCTAGGGTCAGATAGAAGGGGAGGAGGTCCTCCCTTATCAGGGGACTAGAAAAAGGGCATGGGGGGAGAAGAGGGAGTGTGGGTGGGACTGGGAGGAGATGAGAGAGGAGGCTGCAGCAGGATACAAAGTGAATAAATTGTAATAAATAAATAAATAAAATTTAAAAAGAAAAGAAAGTCCTCTTAGCACATAATAATCGAAACACTTAAACGTACAGAGCAAAGACAAATAATAAAAGCTTCAAGGGGAAAATACCAAGTACTATATAAAGGCTGACCTATTAGAATAATACATGACTTCTCAATGGAGACTCTAATAAGCCAAAAGGTCCTGGACAGATGTTCTACAGACTCTAACAGACCACAGATGCCAGCCCAGGCTACCATACCATACCATACCATACCATACCATACCATACCATACCATACCATACCATACCATACCCAGCATAACTTTCAATCACAGTAGATAAAGAAAATAAAGACATTCCATGATAAAACCAAATTTAACCAATATCTATCTACAAAGCCTGTCTTACAGAAGGCTAGAAGGAAAACTTCAACCTAAAGAGTTAACCATGCTCAAGAATCAACAAACACTGATCACTGATATCTCTCAATATCAATGGTCTTAGTTCCCCAACAAAAAGACACACTAACAAAACGGATGTGAGAGCAGGATCCATCCTTCTGCTGCACTCAAGAAACACACTTTAATACAAAGGATAGACATCAGGGTAAATGGATGCAAAAAGATATTCCAATCAAATGAGCCTAAGAAGCAAGCTGATGTAGCCATTTTAATATCTGACAAAAGAGACTTTAAACCAAAACCAGTCAGAAGAGATAGGAAAGGACACTACATACTCATTAAAGGAAAAACACAAGAGGACCCTGCAATTCTTAACATCTGTGCATCAAACACAAGGGTACCCAAGTTCAAAAAGAAAACATTACTACAGTAGTTTAAATCACATTTGAGCCTCACACACTCATAGCGGGAGACTTCAATACCTCACTCTCATCAACAGACAAATCATCCAGAAATAATCTAAACAGAGAAATGCTAGAGCTAACCGACATTATAAGCCAAATGGTGGACTTAATAGATATTTACAGAACATTCACCCAACTACCAAAATAAAAACATAAACAACAACCCAACAACAAACACTGATCAACAATGGTGTCTGCAAAACATGCTAGAGCAATGGTGGCACAAAGCTTGTGGAGTAACCAACCAAAGTCTGATTTGACTTAAGATCCAGTCCAGGAGATGGAACCCTCACCCAACAACATGAGCCTGCATAGCTCAGGGACCTTGGGGAAAACCAAATACTACTGTCCTTCTAAAAGAGCATAGCATCAAAACAAACGACTCCTCATAACATTCTGCTCTACTCATAGATCACTTCCTTGCTCAGACATCATCAAAGAGGCTTCCTCCTGAAGCAGATAAGAACAAACACAGAGAGCCCCAGCCAGTACGCAGAAAGTGAGAGACCTTGGAACACTTAACCCTAAACAGGATGTCTCCATCACATCCTTCCCTTCCGGGCTCAGGAACCCAGCAGAAGAGGAGGAAAGGATGTAAGAGGATGTAAGAGCCAGAGGGGATGAAGGACATCAAGGAAACATGGTCTTCTAAGGCAACATGAGCAAAGCTCACAGAGATTGAACCCACAGAGACTGAGGCAGCATGAACAGGGCCTGCACGGGTCTGCGCCAGGTCCTTTGCAGATATATTATGGCTTCCAGTTCAGCGCTCTTATGGGATTCCTGAGTGTGCAAAGGAGTGGGTCTCACAGTTTCTTGTGCCTCCTTGGACTCTTCTCTTTGTTTTGTCCAATTCCAATGGGTTAGTTTTGTTTTATTTTAGCTTGTATCTTATTTTACTGTTATCCCTTTGAAGCCTGCTTTTTAACGAGACATGGAAAGGGAGTGAATCTAGATGGGAGGTGAGATGGGAAGGAACTGGGAGGAATAGATGGAGGGGAAACAGTAATTAGGATATACTATGTGAGAAAAGAAAAATCTATTTTCAATAAAAGGGGGAAAAAACAGAACTTCCAGGGCTCTGGATGTTTTACCTCACTGAAGACATATAAGTTCAGAGGAAATGAAAAAGCTTTAGAAACAATTGGAAGAATTTATAAAACAATTTACAAGACACTTTTCTTTGATTTTTGTAGTGTTCCTGAAATCGAGTGCACTTTGTCTAACCTTCCCAGTAGACATGAAGGATGTGTGTGGCTTGCCAATCTTCCAAGCGTCTACAGTGCTGAGCTGGCCTTGGGGAGCACTGTGCCTTCTCAGCTGTGGCTCATGGATCTCATGCAACTACAAAGATCTAGCTAGGAATGGAAAAACACTGTGCAAGCCCCTCATCATGTTTTTAGAAAATGTAGTCACCCAAGTAACACAGCAGAGGACAAACAGCTTTAACATAAATATTAAGTAAAAATTTAGACAAGTAATAACAGAAAACGACAATGTATTTCATTTTTTTAAAATGTAGCTCAGGTAGCACTACGCCTAGTTGTCTGAGAAAGCGCCAGATTGACTTCCAAAGTGGTTGTACCAGTTTACATTCCCACCAGCAATGGAAGAGGGTTCCCTTTTTTCCACAACCTCTCCAGCATGTGCTATCACTTGAGTTTTTCATCTTGGCCATTCTGATCGGTGTAAGGTGAAATCTCAGGGTCGTTTTGATTTGCATTTCCCTAATGGCTAATGAGGTTGAGCATTTCTTTAAGTGTTTCTCTGCCATTCGATGTTCCTCTTTCGAGAATTCTCTGTTTAGCTCTGTTCCCCATTTTTTAAAAGGATTACTTGGTTTGTTGCTTTTCTGCTTCTTTATATAACCAAAATTTGCTCAAGTATACAACAAGGACATTTGTTCAACCATGTTTGTAGCAGCTTTATTTGTAATAGCCAGAACTTGGAAACAATCCAGATGTCCATCAACAGAGGAATGGATACAGAAATTGTGGTATTTTTACACAATGGAATACTACTCAGCAATCAAAAAGGAGGAAATCATGAAATTTGCAGGCAAGTGGTGGGATCTAGAAAAGATCATTCTGAGTGAAGTATCCCAGAAGGAGAAAGACAAACATGGTATATACTCGCTTATATAGACCTACAAGATATGATAAACATAATGAAATCTACACACCTAAAGAAGATAATGAAGAAAGTGGACACAGGCGAAGGTGATTAATCCTCATTTAGAAAGACAAATGAGATGTGCATTGAACTTATGACAGGAGTCTACCACAAAAGGCATCTGAAAGACTCTACCTAGCAGTGTTTCAAAGCAGACACTAAGACTCATAACCAAACTTTGGCAGAGTGCAGGGAATCATATGAAAGAAGGAGAGCTAGTATGATATGGAAAGGATAGGAGCTCTACAATGACCAAATATATCCGGGCACAGGGTCTGACACTGACACTCAACCAAGGACCATCTATGGATATAACCTAGAACTTCTGCCCGGATGTGGCCTGTGGTAGCTCAGTAACCAAGTAGTTTTCCAAAGTAAGGGGAACAAGGACTATTTCTAACAGGATCTCAAGGGCAGGCTCTTTGACCGCCCCCCCAGGGGAGGAGCAGTCCTGTTAGGCCACAGAGGAGGACTTTGCAGCCAGCCTTGAAGATACCTGATAAAACAGGGTCAAATGAAAGGGGAGGAGGTCCTCCCCTATCAGTGGACTTGGAAAGGGGCAGGGAGGAGACCAGGGAGGGAGTTGGGGAGGGGGAGGGAATGAGGGAGCGGGATACAGCTGGGACACAGAGTTAACAAAATGTAACTAAAAAGAAAAATAAAATTTAAAAATAAAAATAATAAAATAAAATAAATAAAATAAAATAATAAAATAAAATAAAATAAAATAAAATAAAATAAAATAAAATAAAA